TCTCCTTTGTCTTTGGGCTTTCTTTTTCTGCTTTGTTTTCTTAATCTTCTTGAAAATAAAAATGAAAATCAAAAGAAAGCATAGGAAGAAAACCATTGCTCCTGAAAATGTTATTTTAGTAAGCTTTTTCAGACACCTTCCCTTGTATCTATGGCCAGTTCCTCTGACCTTTGCTCCCTGATGTCATAGAAGACAGAATCAAGGGTTCCTGACCATTCTGTACATCAGGTCTTAAAGGGCTCTAAACTTTTTTTCTAGCATGCAAGAAAGTAGTATACCTGATATGATGGAAAGAGGCCTACCTATAATTTGGATTTGGAGGCCATAAAGCAGATTATCTAGCTTCAGCACTATTGCAATATTGGGGAGAAGGGTCTTATAAGAAGTTGGGAGAAGGGTCTCAGCATGTAGAAGATAGGAAGATATGTATTTTACCTCCTTAAAAATTTATTTTCTTTATTGATTAAGGTATCACATGTGTTCTTATCCCCCCATTGCCCCCCAACCCCCCCCTCATTCCCTCACCCCCCCCCCGAGTGTCTGTGTCCATTGGCTGTGTCCATGGTTATGCTCATATGCATGCATACAAGTCCTTTGGTTGATCTCTCCCCCTTACCCCCACCCTCCCCTGCCTTTCCTCTGAGGTTTGACGGTCTGATCAATGTTTCTCTGTCTCTGGATCTGTTTTTGTTCATCAGTTTATGTTGTTCATTATATTCCACAAATGAGTGAGATCATGTGATATATTTATTTTTCTCCAACTGACTTATTTCACTTAGCATAATGCTCTCCAGGTCCATCAGTGCTGTTGCAAATGGTAGGAGTTCCTTCCTTTTTACAGCCGTGCAGTATTCCATTGTGTAGATGTGCCAAAGTTTTTTAATCCACTCATCTGCTGATGGGCACTTAGGCTGTTTTTTACCTTTCATTTTTCCAGTTTTAGCCTAATTTAAAGTCATTAATCTATACTTAGTCCTTGATTTCCATTAGGTAGTTGTAGAAAAGTGTTTCAGGCAGAATTTAGGAATAGGAAATTATAGAGAAGAAGGCAGGACCAGACTAACATTGCGAGTTTTTGTTTGTTTGTTTGTTTAAGATCATGCCCTAGCAGTAGTGGTGATAGTAGTGTGGCACTCTGTTATGAGCACATGGCAGTCCAGAAAAAATAGCAGCTAGCTTCTGAAGAGACTTTTCTCTAGAATTAGTGGACATTTTAGACCCTTGAAGTATAGTGACCATATAATTTATTGTGCAAACCAGAACACTTACGAATGTAACAGGGGAAACCATTAATGTTTACATTGGAAAAACCAACAGAAAGTGGGACTATCCTGGTCACCCTACCTTGAAATCACCATTGTTGGACCCAAAGCTGAGCCTCCCCATGTTTTTCAGAAACAGAATCAATGTGGCTTCCAATTTCTATATCAAAAGGATTTTTCTCAGCTTTTAGTCTCATCTCTAATATCACCTCTTTAAAAAATCTTCACTAACATTCCCATCTAGTGTTGCCTACCCCAAGTCAATATTACAGTACCATGCTTATTGTAGTTAGAGAATTTATGACAATCTGAAATGATCTTTTCTTGTTTATTTGTTGTCTGCCTCCTCTCCCTTCTCTAATTTAAGCCCCATGAGGACAGAACCTAATCTCAGATACCAGTGTATCCCCAGAGTATAGAAGAGTTCTAATCACATAGTAGGAATTCGATAATTTTGTGGTGAATAAATGAAAAATGATATCCAATGAACACGACTGGGTGCACTTTATGCTAAGGACCCAAGAGAATAACACTGGTTCCTTTTTATATGGAGTCTGAAATTCATTTACTGTGACCCTATTCTTTAATGGCCTCTTGATATATCTATCTTGAAAGAAATCCAAGACCAGAAGAGGAATAATGTGAACAATAAATAAGGCATAATGGGTTCTCAATCAGAACCAGTCTACCGATTATCCAAATGCTTTACTTCTATATCCTTCTGACTGCCTATCTTTTGGTACCTTTGTGCCCCCGTACGGAAGATAAGAATGAGAAATAAAATTTGATACTCAAACTCATTGGTTATGTTTCCATTAGCAGATTTAATCAAAAGTTGGTTAAAGAAAATATATTCTGAAAGAAAATCTGATTTTTATAGAGATTTAAGATATCCACATTTACCCTTGTGTCACTTTTAATTAAGACTAAAGATAATTAAGCATTGGGTATTTAAGATCTGGCAAATAGTAATCACCTATCCAAGGAATAAATGAGTCAAAGAAATGGAACAGAAAGAGATCAATAGTCTTCAGCCCCCTGTCCAATGATCATAAAGGGACTGTTTCCACCCCCCCTACATCCCAAATAATAGCCTTTTTCACCAAAAATAGTTACTCTAGACCCCCTTTGAGTCCTTTTGGATCAGTTGTGAAGAGAATTTTAACTTTGTCAGCGTTGTTTAATTTATGCTAGACTGGCCTGCAAAATTCAGAGAAAAGTTTAACACTTATAACTGAAAAACCCCTCATCCATTAATATATATAAAAGGATTGAAACAACTCATTTGAGAGCACAACTTTAAAGCAATCAAGTATTTATTAATACACAATACAATATTTAAAATCTGCTTTTAACAGTAGCATAATAGAGCCTTAATTTCCTTTAAAAGTTCATGTTAATTAATACTTTCTAGGCTATGTTTAAATTACCTCTAGCCAAAAGCGCAGAAGTCTAATGAAAGTAAGTATTTTAAAGATTTGAGGAGTATTTTTCTTTATATAAAATATATGCATACACATGCATTTGTGTGAGTGTGTTGGAAGTTGTATTGAAATATTAAAATGCAGTCACCTCCCTGGGGTTCTAGTAAATACCATGAAACAGTACCCTGAGGTACTGTAAACCAGGAAGTGAATGTATCTGGCAACGATACACATTTTACAACTGTTGAGTAATTTAAATCCTGGGAGAATCTGACTCATGTTAATCATAGTTTCCTCCATTGGCACTACACCTAATAGAGAAACCATATGTTTTAAACTTTTCTAGGGAAAACACTGACTTCTTTTCACTCATACGTGGAATCTAAGAACAAAATAAGCTAAAAAATAAACTAGAAATAAACTCACAGATAGAGAGTAGACTGACAGCTATCAGAGGAGAGGAGGGTTGGGGTAAAAAATGTATAGGGGCCGAAACCGATTTGGCTCGGTGGATAGAGCGTCGGCCTGCTGACTGAAAGGTCCCAGGTTCGATTCCGGTCAAGGGCATGTACCTGGGTTGCGGGCACATCCCCAGTGGGAGATGTGCAGGAGGCAGCTGATCGATGTTTCCCTCTCATCGATGTTTCTGACTCTCTATCTCTCTCCCTTCCTCTCTGTAAAAAATCAATAAAATATATTTTTAAAAACAGTGTATAGGGGTTCCAGAGTGACTATCATCAATAAACCAACAAGTAAAAGTGTTGGCAAGCATGAGGAGAAAAGAGAACCCTAGTACACTGCTAGTGGGAATGCAGATTGGTGCAGCCTCTATGGAAAACAATATGGAGTTTCCTCAAAAATTAAAATTGAACTGCCATTAGACCCAGTGATCCCGCTTCTGAGAATATATCCCAAGAATCCCTAAATACCAATCAGAAAGAATATAGGTACCCCTATGTTCTTAGCAGCGTTATTTACAATAGTGAAGATCTAGAAACAGCCCAAGTACCCATCAGTAGATGAGTGTATAAAAAAGTTGTGGTACATCTACACAATGGAATACTATGTGGCTGTAAAAATGAAGGAGATCTTACCCTTTGTGACAGCATAAATGGACCTGGAGATTATTACTAGTATGCTAAGCAAAATAAGCCAGTTGGAGAAAAACAAATATCACATGATCTCACTTATATGTGATATATAATGAACAAAATAAACTGATGAACAAAATAGATCCAGAGGCATGGATGCATGGAATAGACTGACAGATCTCAAAGGAAGAAGGGGGTGGGGGTGGGAAGAGATTAACCAAAGAACATATATGCATATATGTATAACCCATGGACACAGGCAATATGGTGGGGAGGGCTTGGGTGGGGCAGCAGCTGGATGGAGGGGACAAAGAGAGGGGGAAATAGGGACATCTGCAATTCTGTCAATGATAATAAAATAAAATAAAATAAAATAAAATAAAATAAAATAAAATAAAAGTAAGCCCCCCAAAAGGTGAAGGGACTATGAAAAAAACCACCCTCATAGACACAGACAACAGTATGGTGACTACCAGAGGGAAAGGGGGGTGGGGGAGGTAGTAGAGGGTATAGGGGGAACAAATGGTGATGATAAGAGATTTGACTTGAGGTGGTGAATACACAATACAATATACAGATGAATGTATTATATTATTGTACGCCTGAAACCTATATAATTTTATTAACTAATGTCACTCAAATAAATTCAATAAAAAGGGAAATTTTTTCAAAAATGGAAATTTGCTAAATATATTACCTATATAGAATGCTATGCCTATGCAAGTAATACACAGATTAAAAATAAATAAGATAAATTCATAGATTAAAAACTTTTTCAAATCACATGTCCTCACTTTTAGGTAGTAAATATAATTACTATTTGTGTATCAACTTTTATCTATAATAATAAAAGTATAATATGCAAATTTACCAAATGGCCAAACAGAGGAACTACCATCTGGATGACCTTCTGGACAACCTTCCAGATGAAGCCACGGCTGTGAGGGCTGAGGCAGCCGGTGCTGCAAAGGCCTACTCTTGCATGAATTTTGTGCATCGGGCCTCTAGTTTTAAATAATTTCCTACATGAAGCACTGATAAGAAAGTGAGCACAAAACTTAGTGCGTTGAGCCTGAGGATCTAGGGCAAGTTTCTATCATTATTTCTTTTTATTATCCATGTGCTCTTATTGGGTAGATACAGCTACTCGCACAGTTTGATCATGAGCTCTGTATTATTGGAGACTCACTTTCCTCATTTAAAAATGGGGATAATAAAAAAACAGCTTTGCGCAGTGGCAGTATCGTAGCCAATGAGGTTTATCCGAGGCACGATTATTGCTAATTGAAAAAAATAAAAAAAAATAAAAAAAATAAAAATGGGGATAATAATAATAATATTTGCCTTAGAGGTTTCTGCTATGAGCATTAAATGGGATAATGGATATGAAGTGCTGAGCCCAGTGCTTTGCAAGGCATATTTTTTTCATTGGGTCTATTTTAAAGAAAATATTTAATATAGCAATATAGCTTCTTCAATTAGTTATACCATATCTTTTTATCAAGCACATTTTATATGTCATACATTTGAGCATAGAGGTAAGTGCTGATATTATAGTTTGGGGGAAGGCACAACAGATAAGCAAATAGTTTAATCTCCATATCCAAAGAACAATGAAAGGCTTAAGTTGGCATACATGCATTAAATATTTTAATAATTTAAAAGTGCAACACTATAGTAAAAGACTCTTGGTCACTTACACTTATTCACTTTCTTTTTAAAATGTTTAATTGAATTATAATTTACATACCATAAAATCCATTCACTTAAAGTGTACAACTGAATGCTTTTTAGTATATTCACAGCATTGTGCCACAATCACTATAATTTTAGAACATTTTCACCACCCTCAAAAGAAGCTCTGTACCCACTAACACTTATTCATCATTTCCCCCAAATGCTCTCCCTCCTATACCTGCCCTAGAGCACCATTAATCTACTTTCTGACTGAATGGTTTTGCCTATTCTAAATATTTCATATAAATGAAATCATACAATATGTAATCTGTTGTGACTGGCTTTTATCACTTAGCACATTGTTTTAACGGACAATCCATGTTGTAGCATGTATCAGTCTTTAATTATTTTTTTATAACTAATATTCCATTCTATGGATAAATCATGTTTTATTGGCCCATTTATTCATTGATGGACATTTTTGAGTTATTTCTACTTTTTAGCTATTTTGAATAATGCTGCTATAAACATTCATGTACAAGATTTGATTGGACAAATGTTTTCAATTTACTTGGATAAATAGCTAAAAGTAGAATTTCAAATAATATTTGACCTTTTTACATTCCTGCCATCTGTGTTAAGTGGGTTCCAATTTTTCAGCATCTTTGATTACACTTATTATTGTCTGTCTTTTGATGTAGCAATCCTAGTGGGTGTGAAACAGAATCTTATTTTGCATTTCTCTGATGGCTAATGATTTTGAGCATCTTTTCATGTGCTTATTGCCATTTATATATCTTTTTTAAAAATCCTAAAGCATTGTATGTAATTATTTAAATCATACTGTAGTGAAAAAAATTAGAATTCTTACAAAACCAGATTTTTAAAAATCAAAAAAATGGGAATATATAGTAAATTTACTCAAATGAAGCTTAAAAGATATAGAACTGAAAATATTAGATATATATATATATAAAATGAATATACATTAGCCAACTATATGAACATTTCTGGCTAAACACTCATACAAATACATATTCACCTCTTTCTTTTATATAGAAATAACACATACATACATGATATGATGATTCTGGCAAAAAAAAATCAGAGATAGTAAAAATATTCTCAAGTTTGTTTTTTTGTTGTTGTTTGTTTTTAAAATATATTTTATTGATTTTTTACAGAGAGGAAGGGAGAGAGATAGTCAGAAACATCGATCAGTTGCCTCCTGCATATCTCCTACTGGGGATGTGCCCGCAACCCAGGTACATGCCCTTGACCAGAATCGAACCTGGGACCCTTCAGTCCACAGGCCGACCCTCTATCCACTGAGCCAAATCAGTTTCGGCTATATTCTCAAGTTTCAAAGATGGTGTGGAATAAGTTTTGGCAACAACATTCTACATGAATGGAAAACCCTGATTTAATTCCATAATTTTCATGCCAGAAGCATGGTTGGTTTTACTTCTTTCTAAGAACAGATCTTGGTATCATATACATTGGCTTATTAATAATTAAGGCATTTTGTTTACACAGTATCTCAGTGTGGAAAAAACTTTTAGTATTGACTTTTTGCCAATGTTTTAAACTTTCAAAGCCTTTCAACATAAGAAAATAGCTGCACACATTTGAGTGTTTTCTTATAAAGCACAATCTTAAAAAAGTAATGATGATTGGTCTTTGCTTATCCTTGTAATAAATTTTGTCTTATTTTTTCACATAGTATAAAGTATATTCTTATGAAGGGTTGCATTAAGATCCAGTAGTTCTTCAACAATGTTGCAACTAACCATATGAATCCCAAATGCAGCAAAGGTGAACAATCTTCATAGTGCACTTTCACCTTATTAAAGTTGAAGCTGCTCCTTTTGGATATTTTTCCACTTCAATGTGAAGTAGATTGTTAGGGTTTCGTTAGTGGTTTCATATGTGGCTTTAAAAGAAAAAGGTTTTGATTTCTTTCACAGTTCACAGTTCTCCAATGAGGCATGTTTGGAAATCATATAATCCAGGGATGTTTTGAATAACCAAATGCTCTTTGGTAGATGAAGTATTTCAATGCAACTGTAATAAATAAGCATCTACATCCTTAGCTATATTATCAATATATCCTGGAACCAAAGTGAGATGGTTTTCTTGTTCCCACAATCCACTTAAAATCTGAATATTTTCATCATTTATAATTTCTGTTTTGGATGATAGTTCTAACTTCAACCTTTTGGTGACTGCTTGAAGCCAGTTTAAAACAACTATTATATATTCTTCAAATTTGCTTTTAAGTAGTGACTTTACAAGAGGCAACAAGTGTACGCAGCAGCCTAGTGAGATGTATTGTTTTTCTCCCTATAAACTATTGGTAAGCACAGGAAGGCAATCCACCACCACTCCAAGGTCTTCTATCTTCACCAAATAAGTTATAAGTTCACTTATACTTCTCTTTTTCCAGAAAGTTAAAGCTACATTCAATCTCAAATTCCTGCTGAACAAAATTTGCGCCATGTTTCATGATCCAAAGAAACCTCAGAAAAAAAAACACCACTTTTTTTTGTTTTTTAATTTATTGATTAAGGTATTTCATATGTGTCCTTATCATCCCATTGCCCCCCAAACCCCCACTCATGCCCTCACCCCCCTGATGTCTGTGTCCATTGGCTAGAGAGATCAACCAAACCCACTTTCTGTCTGTGAAGAACCAGAATCACTGGAGTTATGCAAATATATTTGACTATCATGGTGCAATTTTTCAGGCGGGTGGCCTGCACAAGCCAGTTCATTTTCTTTATTTGCCATGTCACAGCCCCCACTTCTAGGGGGCTGTTTCCTTTTAAAACAAGAATTTGGAAAAGGTAATGGACTTTCTTTCTGTGGTAGATCAGCTTACGTAGTTTATCTGGGCTTTTCACAACGTGTCCAACTGTTCTATTTATGTAAGCAGCCAACTGTTTTGGAAATTTCTTAACCTCCTTCCTGTTCTTATTAGTGAAATTAGAGATCCTTTTTCTGGGATGATCAATGGAATGATTCTCAATATTATTATAAAATTTCTGTTTTTTAACATTGTGAGTTTCAGATGCCATATCTCTTAAATACCAGCGCCTCAGTCCAGCTCTGGTGCTGACCAACTGCACCTGGAAGCCTAGAGAGTCCCTGGGCTCCAGGCTGAGCCTCACTCAGGGCCATTCAAGGTAGGCCATGCGTGGGGCACTGGGATTGCTCCCCCTTGGGCGTCTCTCAGGCTCCACCCAACTCTCCCATTTATATATTTTTTTAGAGAAATCTATTTGACAAAATTGTAATTTATTTATGTTTTATTTTTTAGTTGTAGGAGCTCTTTATTTATTCTAGATACAAGTCCTTTATTAGACAGTAGAGGCCCAGTGCACGAAATTTGTGCACGGAGGGTGTCCCTAAGCCCGGCCTGCACCCTCTCACAATCCAGGACTGTTCACCTGCCTGCCTGCCTGATCACCCCTAACCCCTCTGCCTGCCTGATCACCCCTAACCACTCACCTGCCTGCCTGATCGCCCCTAACTGCTTACCTACCTGCCTGATTGCCCCTAACTGCCTTTGCCTGCCTGCCTGATTGCCCCTAACCACTCTGCATGCCTGGCTGATGCCCCTAACCACTTGCCTGCTTGTCTGATCGCCCCAACTGCCTGCCTACCTGCCTGATCGCCCCTAACTGTTTACCTGCCTGCCTGATCGCCCCTAACCATCTCTGCCTCTGCCTCTGCCACTGCAGCTGCATCTAGAACAGCTGTGGGCAAACTACGGCCCGCGGGCCAGATCCGTCACGTTTGAAATGAATAAAACTAAAAAAACAAAACAAAACAAAAAAAAAAAACTGTACCCTTTTATGTAATGATGTTTACTTTGAATTTATATTAGTTCACACAAACACTCCATCCATGCTTTTGTTCCGGCCCTCCGGTCCAGTTTAAGAACCCATTGTGGCCCTCGAGTCAAAAAGTTTGCCCACCCCTGATCTAGAAGGACGTCCAGAAGGCCGTCCAGCTGTCTGGTATAATTAGCATATTATGGTTTTATTAGTATAGATATAACTTACCAAAAAATTTAGGGCTGGCTTTGTACTTTCCTGATTGTGTCCTTTGAAGCACAAAGCATATATTTTGATGATTTCCAATTTAACTATTTTTTCTTTCATCATTTGTGCTTTTGGTGTCATATCTAATAAACTATTGCTTAAACCAAAGTCATGAAGATCTATATCTGTTTTCTTCTTTGAAAAGTTGTATGGTTTTAGCTCTTACATTTAAGCCTTTGATCCATTCTGAGATAATTATTGTATACTAGAGGCCGGATGCACAAACTCTGTGCAAGGGGCTTGGCCCCACCGCCGCAGTGGCTGCCTTAGCCCCCGCCCGCCTCAGGGGCCGCCTCTGCCTCAGCTGCCACAGCTTCATCCCGAAGGTCTTCCAGAAGGACATCTGGTCTAATTAGCATATTATGCTTTTATTATTATAGATGGTGTCAGATAGGTGTCCAATTTCATTCTTTTGCACATGAACATACCGTTGTCCCAGCACAGTTTTTTTTAGAAGACTATTATTTCCCTCATTGAATTGTATTGGTGCCCTATTGAAAATCAATTGACTGTAATGTGATGGTTTATTTCAAAATACTTAATTCTATTCCATTGATGTATATGTCTATCCTAT